TATGTTAATTATTTGCTAATCCTGCGTAATAGACCTGGAAGTAAACTTAACACGGCGAATGAAAATAGTATTTTTTTACCATCTGTATAAGAATTTTTGGTTGAAAGAATCCATCATACTGTATAGAATCTAAACTGCAAAATAAAATACATTGGAGAACCAGAAATTCAAGTGATCAGAGCTCACGCGCGCTATTGCCATCTTGCATCAGGTATTGGAGGCCTTCAGTTCCTGTGAACTCTCCCCAAACTTTGTTCTCTCATTAATCAACGTGCTCTTATCGCAGGTCATTTCAAGTTGCTCTAATATGACAGCTTTTGATAAATTTATCAGAAAGGTTAACGTACTTTGTCCACAAGGGTCGAAGTTGTGGGAATGCTATATCTAGCCAAGGTTTTGCTCGACCATTGAAGTGGATCACACCGGCATTCTGAGCTTCTNGCATTTTGAGCTTCCGCTACAGTTGTATTATCTTGGTACCCCAGTCCTAGCATGTGCCAAAAGGGATCAATGGCGTGGACGTGGCCATGAAATGCAATTAGACCAGGAGGTAATGTCCCTAGCTGCCATAAACTTAGGTCCGATTTCAAGTTCTGCATAGGAAAAGCAAAACTTAATGATAGAATGTTCAATTATGACTTTCGATAATTACTTCGCAAACAAAAACCTATTTTGATATCACTTGTAGATTACCTGTTCGAGCCAGTAGTGGTATGTCTGACTAATATTTGTTTTCCTCCATGCTTCTAGATCAAAAATATTCATGCCATAGGCCCACGCGCATTCGCTGGGATTAAAGCTTCTTGCTATTAGAGGATGAGAAAAGTTTAAATAGCTTTTGAAGCGCTTTGACATGACATACTTGTCCCCTCCCCTGCATGTCTCCACTGCTCCGTTCACCTTGCCATTCATGTCAATGTCCCATAGAGGTGAAAGATCCGTTTGAACGACGATGTCATCATCCATGAATACTACCTTATCTAGACTGGGATACAACTGAAAAGAAATTTATATTCTCAGTATATAATTGTTATCCAGGAAAATGGGGATGGATCGTCAATCATGGATGTTACATGTAACTCAAGTGAAATATATATGTCTTAAATTTCAGGGTCTTACCTCTGGCAAATGTATCCTTATGTGGTTCATCAGTGAATTATATTTGGGACTGAGTGCTTGTAACTTTGCTGCGATGACCTTAGGCTTCTCAGTTTTGTTTGCCACAATTGCTGATGACCCTCCCCTGAACTGTGATCTAGCTTTTTGGTCTTTCTCCATAGCTTCCAGAACCGGGACCTTCCCCTTTGTGAACCAATCGAAATGATGCAACCCTTTAACCTCAATAACAGCTGGTGTTAAAGGATGCAACGAAAACCAAGCTTGCATAGGTGCATAGGTTTTTCTATCTGTGATTATGTGAAGGACTATTTTTTCAGGGCGCAAGAAATTCTGCACGAGTGATGAAGCAACAACTGAAGCAGCAAGAACATTGTCAGAGGCAAGAACGAAATGGAAGTATGAGTTATCAACAAGGGCGGGGACAAGTTCAGGCAACGGTAATTGGAGACGGGCATTGGAATTGGTAGAATGCTCATGCGCGAGCTTGAGAGCAAGGCAGTGCAGCTGTTTTGGGATGCTACTAGATGCCACATGTCGATACAGGTATTCTTGGATTTTGGCAGTTCTCGTCGTCTGTTCTAGCAGGGTGACCTACAAAAGCAATATGCACTAATCAGGCTTTGACTTGGAACCAATCAGACTATGAGAAACTGTTTACATTTAGAATGATTATAGGATTTCCTTTTTGCCTGGAGTGTCTGAATTGTCCATATCGTATGGGCTTTTGCTTCATTATATCTATTCCTATATATGTTGTGGAATGGACGATAAGAACATAATACCATAGATTTGAGCTTGACAGCAAAGGTTTTCGCGTCTGGTCTTCCAACCTTCATTTCTGCAATAAACTCATCTAATGTTTGAGGAGATTCAGGCCTTGTTCGCATTTCAGTTTGATCTGAAGGTTCCTCCAATACTTGGTATATCACCTCGGGAACCTAACAAATGCAAGGTAAATAAGAGACAAGACAATGTAATCCCAAAACTAATTAATAGAAGCACTAGTAAGGGGGGATATCTTCATTATTCAATAAGAGAATATCGCAGTGTTATGCACAGGGAAAAGATACATGACTCAGAAGCGTACAGTTGATTCAAGCCGTTTCCCCAAAATCCTTGGTCCAATTTTTTTCCCCAAGCAACCTGTAGTAAAATGATATTTTTAGAATGCATATAGCAGAATGATTTTCAGCCTTATCGTCCATGAAAGTAAACAACGGGGGAAAGTGAAAGGTGATATGTGTCAAGCTTTTAATCATCAGAAATAGATGCAAATTTTATCTATTAGCTTCCCTGAGAAAGATCTCTAAGTATCCTCTTTCTTAATTTAACAGAGTCTGCAGTTCCTTAAGTAAGGCAAGTTTAAGTTCAATGCATATCTAATAACATCAACTTAAGTTTTCTGTATTCATAAATGAGTAAGAATATTTGGATGATCACAAATACTTCAATGTCAAGTAAGTTCAGTATGGACAGATTTAGTTTTCTTTTACAAGCTACAGCTAACTTGAGCAACAGTGTTCTGATCATCTTTGACTCTCTAATAGTGGCGAAGACAGTAATTTCTCCAATGGTATTCAAACTTGAAAGAAGTGAAAAGAACTCCTCGATAAAGGGTGTTCAATATATATTATATAACTCTAAAACCTAATATTTTAGCTATATGCACAATGTAATTTTTCGACGACCACCCTTATGAGAATATAGCTTCGCCCGTGCTCTCTAAAACGTTATGCATTTGCTATTTTTCTTTCCAATGTAACACGTATATTTTGCGACGTACTTACTATGCATTACTACTAGTATGTTATAAGAGAAGGTAGCATTACTGCTTCTAGAGCTGTTATATCTGTAACAACTTAATATTTGCTAATACCATGTAAGATTATGCATGAAACTAAATTCCTCCCATTATCCTTTTTCTAATGCTGCTTAATTAATGTACCTAAACATATTTTTCACATCTTCTATATAGCATTATAGAAAGAGAGAGAGATGCACCTAGGGTCGAACATTTTCGTTCTCCATCGATGGTGTCTATAGCTGTTAACACGAAGACAAACCGGAGCAGGAATGTAAGGAACAGGAGGAAGTAGAAGACCATGCGATATGATAATCTTTTAGAGCCAACTTTTACTTTAATGAAGTCCTTGAAACCTTTAGCAGGCAGAACAGTGACATGCCTCAGACTTGGTGATATGTGGAGCTGCATTGCATTTAACATTCAATAACAAAAAGGAAAATGAACCACCCAAAAATAGGCAGAAAAAACCACAGTGCTTGAACTCTAACTATAACAAAAATATTGGTACTTTTAGTCTAGTCATTCATTAGGCAATAACTCAGAGAAGAAGTTGAGTAGAATGCAGAAGAACTCTGTAGAGAGATGCTGTAAAAGGAAGTACTTGGAGAGGGAAAGGAGTTGTTTTCAATCACCTAACCTTGCTTAGTATGGAGGTTACATATGCAGGTTTTACCAAGTTTGTATTAATTTTCACATGGAAGAAAATTCAAGAATTGTAGTAGTAGTAGTAGTAGTAGTTTGAAGGAAAGAGACACAACACTAATAAAGAATTGTAGTAGCAGAGTTTGGTGTTGCTTCACTTTGCCTCCAACATGAAGTTGTTAAAGAATAGAAGCTTGATTTATACAATGTGGGAGTTTAGGCTTTTGATTGAACATAGTTTCTAAATTGGAAAATGACCCACTGTCTTTCTCCTTTTGTTTTTTTCCTTAATTATCATACCAGGGTGACTCCAAAATCTAAATCCTGGTGGGGTCAAGCCTCTAGTTGTTGGTTTGTTGGAGCTAAACTTATTTTGGAAACATTGGACTATTTTTATTGTTGTAAATATTACAATAATTTGTGGTAAAGTTATCCAGAGATAACTATTCTAATTCGTATTTTGCCAGTTTCTGGACAGTTTGGAGATTAACTTTAATACTCTTCCACGTGAATTGAGTTTGGTTTCCTAAAGTTTATATTATTTGCTTAATTAATCCAATTATGCTCAATGAATTCAATGTCTTTTGTCTGATCAGGCAATTAACATTATCATCTATGCATGCCATTTTGACTTAGCGAGTTTAATGTGTGTATTTTAAGGGTCAAAATATTTGGCAAGTTGTATAGACCATGTATTCATTCAAGGATTTAATAAATATTGATGTTTGAGCCGTGGAAGTAGCCTCTTGCAGAAATTCGGGGTAAGGCTGCGTACAATAAACCCTTGTGGTCCGGCCCTTTCTCCGAACCCACACATAGCGGGAGCTTAGTGCACCGGGCTGCGCCAACTCATCCAAAAGGTGAATCAATTTGAGCTACATTTTTAGTTCATTGCTTTGCAAATCAGTTTCCCATGAAAGTTTTAAGTTTTACCATCATTTAAGGGTATAATAAGTTATATCCTCCCTTCAAACCTATTTCCTATGAAAACTTTTAAGTAATTTTTAATATTCTAGAAGAAAATAACTCTTTTTATTAACTAATGCTTAAATAGCAGCTTACTGATTTTAATACTTCTAAATTTTCTATGTTCTAGACTTAAGCAGTACACTAAATAACTATGATAATTGATAAGTAGTTATGATCAAATTAGTAAATCTTGTTTTTTAGGCATGAAAGACTTGATAATTATAGTATTTGACGTTCCTATATTTTATTGATGGAACAAAAAAAAAAAGGTTCCTAATTTAAGAACTCCTACGTTCTTATTAAAAAGCTATTTCTATCACGTACTTCGCCAACTCATTCACAGCAAAAATAGTTGTAAACAAAATTCACTCAAAATCATGCAGCTCGCAGTTAACAAGCTAGAGGAGCAGCGACCGCGTATGCGAGGTAATTCATTTTTCACGTTGTCTCCAAATAACTAAAGATATAAGTTAACGAAAGTAATCAAAAAATGCAACAAGTTATAAGATCCGAACTATTATTTTTACATATTACAACTATTTATTGGACAAGTTTCAGAGTTTAATATTTACAAAGTCAAAGCATCCATCCACATGACTTTGCTCGTTGGGCCAAGGAACCTATACCTTTTCCTTCTCTACGTTTCCCCCCACCAATATTAACACTTACAGAGACCTCCCACTTAATCAACGAATAACGAAAACCTGACAAGATAATGAAGCCAGTATATTAATCAACTGCAAGATTCAAAAAAAGAGTGAAATTTCAAATAATGAAAATCTTTCATTCATAAAAATGAGAGTGAAGCAGAGATAACTCATAGATACTTATTTTAGCTTTCATTCATCTAACCATGTTCAAAATAAGACATTTTAGCTTACTGAAGTTAGGGAGAGCGTGCAACGACTTCAATGATCTGAGGAAAATCTTATTATCATGTGTCCTGCATTTATTTGAAAGTGCATGCATAAAGCTGATGAAAACAAGCAAGAAAGCAACATCAGTTACCTTCAATCAACGTCGTCAACTTCATCTTCGAAATGATTCTCCATTTCTGCACCACCTAGGTTATTATTTACAAACTTAGACTGTGCCTCCTTCACAGAGCTCTCCATACTATTTACAAAAGCAAGCCGACTGTCCGCTTTAGGGCTCTCACTACTATTTACAAAGCCATTAGCTGTTTGACCTGTCATTGGGATACCATCCAAACCAGTTACTTCTTGGCCACAGTGAACTTCGCTCCTGGGACCATTCATAGAATGACGCGATCCATAACCACCATTAGCCATAAGAATGCAGTTTCCAGAGACCTCCAGCCTAGGAAGTGACTGCTGGCTATGATCACCGTTAACACATGCCCTAATAACAAACAGCTAACTTCAGAAAAATAACCATATTCCACAAGAGAAGTATGGGAAAACATTACAAATGTAGCAGTGCAACAACTAATGACTTAACACATGACCAACAAAACAGTCATTGCCTGCCCAATGGCACATTTCAGCTTATGCATGTTTCAACACGATTAACAAACCATCAAGCATACCCAAATAGTTGGGTAACTTTCCATAACAGGGATGATACATTGACAAACAGAAAGAAACACTAATTACCTCCCTTGCTGGGTCTTGGAAGCTTGAATGTAATCAAAAACTGGAATTAGATCTTTTGATCTCGCCTCGACTAAGTGAGTTGGAATTGCTTCTATCTCAGACTCTCCTCCAAAAGCACAGACATCGCCTACGTTAATCCCATCTGTAACAAATGATTGAAAATAGATCTGCAAGACAATTACAAAAGCACAAAGGAGATATCAACCATTACACAATGGCAGCATGAGACTTACTGACACAGACTGAGGTACCATACAAATAGTGAAGTACCTCCGGTTTTGCCCATAATGGAATCTGGGGTTTATGCATTTCAAGCTCCACTTCAGATATATACATATGATGTCTTTCATCAGAACTTCTCTTTTCTTCTGTGATTGTGTTCCTAGTTTTGGAATAGAGACCATTTTCCACCTTTATGCTTTCAGGAAATACTTTACTGCTATCACAATCTCCAACTTCACCATATATATCGATATTACCACCTCGCTCTTTGCGATTTTGTTTCTGGAAAATATTCCACTTCTGGATTGCATCTATGACTAATCTTGTATCAACTTCAACGCCTGACTCAAATGTTGTAGCCACTGCAGGAATGGTTGTAACAGAATCTAGGCCAGAACACATACGTAAAGCATATTGTATCACACAGCCAGGAGAAGAAAAAACCAGCAAGTGATAATTTGATTTTAGAAAGGCTGCATCTGTATATTGGTTATAGTTTTTGTAGTACTGAAACGCTGAAGCAATGGACCCAGATAGAGAGCTAACATTTCCAGTTGCAGCAGCGGCAGCACCACTTAGAGTGTTTTTCCAACCATTAGCTCCACTCCTTATTCGGCCAACAGTAGAAAGTGCCACGGGTGGGCCAGATCCACAAATGCTTTGTTGATTAAGCACTTGAGAATTCATGGTCCTCGGAGCTGAAGGTTTTGTCATCACCCCAGAGCCATTAGTGCGAGCACTTAAACATGCATCAGCAGTGTGAAAATCAACTGATCCCCCTGAAGGAGATATCGCAAAAAGATGGCTAGTTCCTCGAGAAGAGCTTATCATAATCCACCGGCTATCACTACTAAAACTTATGTCTTGTATGACCTGAGATTTTCAAAAGGAAATAATAATTGACTTCAAGCCTCAAGAGGCAAACAAATTCAATAAGGAAGAAAAAGCAACTTAGGAATACTTACCGCGTTAGTCAGTCCACGCTGCAGCGTATAAAGATGGACATAAGAAGACCCAGATAGTCCAGGCATTATACGAAATACATTGATATTATGACCTTGAACTGAAGCTGTCACCAGAAGAGTAGTGCTAGGATCAAAGCACAAAGCTGAAATGGGACTCTTATGTGCCCTAAACTGTGCAACAAGAGCTTTAGTGACGATGTCCCTGACTATGACCTGCGGACGCACAAAATGAAACAAGTTAGATCAGAGTTCAATGTTGGTCAAAGCCACCACTATATATAGAGCACCGAACGGTAATCACTTACCACCATTAGAAATAATAAAATACAAAGCCCCAAATGTGTGAACATACATAAATGTCCACAGAAAGTAGACACGGCATGAGAGTTAATATGATGATGAAAGGAAATGATGGCAAAGCTCCCAAAAGCCTAAAAATGACTTCATAAAAATTTAAACCAACATTTTTGAAAGACAGTTGATAAGATTAGCTTATACCATTCCAACACTGTCCGCATCTGGAAAATGACCATTAGCAGCTCCGGGTACCTTGACACGAGCATTCACAGACTGAGAACTAGTACCATCTGGTCGCAGTTCAGAATAGTACCTCGACAGCTTCTTGTACCCAATGTCGCCTAGAGTCACAATACCAGCAGCAAGTTGCTTGCTTGATTCCTTTGCATAATGAGCAACAAGGCTCCCATTTGGAGCTGGACTTGGGAAACTAGCAGAAGGAGTAAGGTGCTGTGGATTGACTCGACCAGAATTCGAGACTGAAACTGGGTTTCCACTATAAGCTATCCACCTGGGACCTACTGCGAGAGGTCCCACACCTATGTTTCCAGGAGCAGGAAACCCCGTGACAACAGGATTGGTGACAATAGTATATTCCCTCTCTAGAGTTGCAGCATCAAAACAGTGTATCTGCATAAAAGCAATGTAATCCTTATGTCTAGCCAGATAAACCTGAGTAAAACTTTGTGACATCATGTCACATACCTGAGCTGCTTGTAAGATTGCAATCACTCGGGAGCTGCACCTTACCAAGTGAACAACTGATCTGAACTTCAACTGATGCACGTAAGAGTGAGATCTCAGGGAATAAAACCAAACAACAGTAGGCAGAAAAGTGGCACTTGCTTGGTTATGATAATGTTGGAAGGTTCCATTATGAGGAGTTACTATGCCCTCCCCACTGTTACTACCACCAGAAAAAGATCCATCGGCACAAAGTATCAACATTGGGCGACTAACAGAAAATTTGTCGTCAGGAATCTTCGATGCTATTAGTTTCGGTAACACTTGCACAAAAGAAACAGGACCATCATGCCTGGAAACTAAGTTGCACACATTATCACCATCTTCAACATCCCAAACTTGGAAGCCATAACGACACCCCAGGAGCAAAATTTGCCGAGTTGTGCCTCTCTCACATTCCAACTTGTCAAACCCGGCCCAGAGAACCTGTGTGTGGTAGAAGAGGAATATGAGATACGCTACATTTCCCTTCGCAATAGCATCAAAGTTCCGACCTTATTCACATAGCAATGCAATGAATGTCCTTAAGCACAAGCAACAAAAATATTTGAACTAATATCATAAAATACTATCTAAAAATTAGATGTCCAACAACCTACTTAATACAAACATATAAGNGGGGGGGGGGGGGGGAGGTTATATGCATGTATGTGCAGTTTGACCAAATCAAACAACCAAAGTAAATATTTGCTAGCTTTCAGTATTAGGATAATTGCTCTGGAAATCTTATGGCCCCTTAGCCATATCTTTGAAACCGGATTCAAATTTACAACTGCACAAAAAAAGAATCACAAGTTAATGTTAATTCCTCAACTTATCAAGGTATCAACCTGATCTACACTTAATACTTCAGAATCAGCTCATCAGAAGACAATCATCAGTCTTTTCAGCCTTAAAATAAAGCAACCAATAGTTGTATAAATCCCTCTGATATTCTTCGAGCTTATCACCAACTAGAATTGCCCCAAGAAGGCCCCAGACTTGTAATTAAATCTTCCTTCCAGAGCATCCTGACTCCAGGGGCGAGGGGCAAACTCAGGATTCTTAAAGGATGGGTTCACCACTAGTTTGATTTTATATATAAAAAAAATATAAAAAAATAAATGAGCTCAACAAGGATCTATCCCTGGTCCCCAGGGAAAATTTTCAACTACTTAACCAGTGAACCAACACAACAAATCTAATCAAGGGTTCACAAAGGTAGTACTTAGACAAATTATATGAATTATACATATAATATACACAATTTTTGTCGAAGACCACGGGTTCGGGTGAACCAAACCCTAAAGCTTTTCCAACAGCAGCATCTAATTTTTAATGTCCAACCTTGCAACTGCCTTCTGAAGTTCGGCATATGTGCCAAAGAACTGCTATACAATTATATTATTGTCCACGAATACCTCTTTTTCTTTTTCTTTTTGTTCTACACATGGAAGGCGAGCCTTGAAGCAACGATAAATTATTTCTGCGTGACCTACAGGTCAAGAGTCCGTGGAATCAGCCACTGACACGCTTGCTTCAGGGTAGGCTTCCTACATTACACCCTCTAGGAGTGCGGCCCTTTCGCGGATCTTGCATGAATGTGGGATGCTTCGTGCACCAAGCAGCCCTTTTTGTTCTACCGACAAAAGCATCTTTGTAATTTGAAGTTAAGTGGAGGGAACGGAAACGTTTGTTTGGACGGAAATTCACCAGCTACAGGCACCAAAACACAAGTCCCTAGCTTGTAATGCAATAAATTACATAGCCGTAGGCGATTTACCTTTCCTTTTGGACTATAAACCTCCATTACTTATCAAAGAAATAAAGCATTAAACCTACATTACTTCGAACTTCTGATTGCCCCAGATGACATAAGCTTTTTCTTTTTTTGCATGGGGTGAGGGAAGTCGGTTAAATTTTTGCATTTATTGGTTAAATCTTTTCATAAAAGCACGTTTAAAGTTTAAAGTCCATGAAGATCTCCTATAATTAAGGCCATAGATCTCCGGCTCCCACTTTCTTTCATTAATGCCATATCTCTTTCACGCACTCTTCCACCCTCCCTGCGCCCCAAAACTTCTCTAAGGTTGGCCAAACTTTCACTACCTTTATTTGACCCAACACTCGAGCCCACTCAAATTACAAGGACATGGTAACATGATTTTTGTGCCATCTGTCTTCAGACCTCCATTCTCTACATATGATTAACACTCCCATTTTTTTGGGTTAAAAAAATATGATTAACACTCCCATTCGTAGTATTAAAGTTCAAGCAACATTAACATGCATTTAAATTCTTAAGTGCAACACTAGTATGCCACATATGGTATGATTCGAGAAATCTGGATACACGACAATGGCAAAAAAATAAAAAGAAAAAAGGTCCAATTATGCATAAGGATCATTCATGTAGAAACAATAACCAGACAAAACCCACGCGGGATCTTAGACCAACACGACAAAACGGAAGTTAGCAGTCCAGAAATAAAGTAAAAAATCAGTAACTTTAACGAACTGTACAAAAAAGCCAAAACACCACATTAAATGAAAAAGGTTATATGCCGTCACATTGCATGAAATCCAAAAAACACTACAAGAACAAAATCTCTGGTATTTTTAGCATGCTTTTCAAAACGAGATAAGAAGAACCCGACAAACTCATTCATGGGTCCCAACTCCCATGATACTATATCGAAGAAAAGGTCATTTCGCAATTATGAATATCCCCTGATCACAAATGCATCCAGAAAATAGTATTCCTAATTCAATAAGCATGCCCGATCAAACAGGTCACTCCCAAAGAACCTAATGCTACACATATACCAGTTAAGATATGCATATCCTTTCTTTTTTTATAAGTAAAAGAGGCCATTAGATATGCATATATACACAATATACGGCAAATCAAAAGTGTATTTGCCATTGGAGAGAGAAAGAGAGCATGATAAACTAAATAGGAATGATAGCAGATCAGTCAATGTGGAAGTATCTCACTTCCCCTGCTGATCCATATAATTATGATACATTTCTCTTACTTATATTCACTCTCGCTGTGGCAACAAGAAAAAGTTCACATGATATGCAACCTAAAAAGCTTAACCGACATAAGTTCTACTTGGGAGCTAAATTTTGTAAAAAGAATACTAACCACAAAAGAGGGGAAGAATACACCGTAGCCTGTAAAGTAAACCGATTTTTTGTCATTTTTAGCCGTTACTCTTCAAGGTAAAATTAGTATAACATTCAAAAGCATTAAGGAGTTGCAACCAGAACTGCATTAACCAACTGCTTCCAGAATTCATGACATTCAACTATAAATATACAAGTAGCAACCCCTGGTTAACAAGTATATAAGTTTCAATCTTTTTACACCTACAAACTACAAAAGGGCATAGGAACACGGGAATAGCACCTGATCATGGCTGGACTCATTATCCCTCTCCACGATGGCCGAAGCAGCTGAAGCGGCTGACTTAACTGTGGAAGCAACAGTTGAGGCACCAGAGGATACAATCTTAGAGAGAGCTCGAAATGAACTCGGGAAAACACCATGCTTGCCCCTCCCTGACCTAGGCACTACTCCACCTTCAAGAGGTGGTTTTTGGTCATCATTCCTCATTCCCATGCCCCAGACCACAAGGGCAAAACAAATACAACAACACTAAAATCAAAAACAACCCTCTGATTCTTGAATCTTCTATTTTCTACTCTTCTGATCATAACCCTTAAGCTTGTTCCTATATATCACCACTTCTTGATAAGCCCTAGGGAAAAAAACGTTACATGGGAAAAGTCTTAAACTTTCATCTCACAGCTGTCTTCGTGTTTTGCTTCCAACACAGGAAAAATCCAAACCCCACAACTGAAAAATCACCGCTTCTTCAAATCACAACAGAATAGCACAAAATAGCTATTGAATCCCAATCTGTCTTCTTCTAAACTTCCTTTACTTTGCAATAAAGAACACAACTACCAAACCCCACAAAATAAAGATAAAAATCAAAACTTTAAACTTCTAGTAAAACACAACAACAAATTTTTCAAAAACTTTCTTTGTTGTATTATGTACTTGACAAATCTTTATCTACCTGTACATCAAATTCGTGAATCAAATATATATATTTTTTTACAATGAATTCACAAAGAATATGTACAAAATTGGATCAGATGACCCTGAAAATTGAATTTTTAGGCTTTCAGTACTTGAGCAGAAACAGAAATAGATTCCTAACTCATATACAAATTTTGTACGTATATGCATACATATTAAGCGTATGAAGAAAGATTTGAAGGATCGGATAATAATGAAGAAAAGATGATTGAAGAAATTATAAAGTCTCTCTCTTTACGTCTCTCTTTCTCTCTCTAATATATAAGTTATATTAAATGCTTTATTTTCTTTCTTTTTTAAAAAAAAATTGTTTTCTTTTTTCAATTGCTAAAGCGTGAGAAATTTGATATGTATTCAACGGAAGAAACCTCCCTTCACGTTTTCGTCCGTCGTCAGTCTTTTTCACCGCCGGTGGCTGCTGTAATAGCAGTAAAAAGTTTACCTCAGTAAAAAGATAACGGTAACGGTAACTTGGGGAGAACGCAAAAGTGCATAGAAAAGTCTTAGTCCTTGCATTTTCCTTGCTTTGACCAACTTGAAAAAATATAGGCCATTGATCATTCGAAATGATGAATCTCATCCGTCAATTCAAAATGAGTATTTTACTAATTGCAATATAACTTCGCAGTCGTAAGTTTGAATAATTACTTCAATGTATTTACTTAATTATAAAGAAATGCCACTGCCGTGGGCCAAGAGATATAATTATTTACTAGGTGTATACGGTCTAAATTGTAGAGCTCGATTTCGAAGACTTGGTCATACCTCGAGCTCGAGTTTAAAAGCTTGAAGTAAGAATCGAGCCTTGTCGGGATATGCGCACCTCGAGAAGCAAATCGAAGGCCCGTCGTGGCCTGCCACGAGGGCAGTACAATTTCGATGGCACTCAAGAAAGAGCAGGAATTTCTCAAGAACACGTGAATCAGGGCATAAATTAACGGATAAGATTTGTACGAAATGGTACAGGTCCGTACTAGGTTGTTATACACCTGTATCAATAGAATTCTTTACCACAATTAGGAATGTCGTACTATGTTGGGGTTTTCTCCTCCTATATAAAGGGGACCTCAATCATTTGTAAAGGGGATATCTCATTCACTGCAATAGAATTTTCTATCCGCTTTTCTCGTTTATTGTGCTCCACAATTGTTCTTCAACCTTATTGTTTTTACTTTATTTCTCTTAACTTACCTCGAGGCCCCCAAGATAATCGAGCTCGAGGTCCTTATTGCTCTAACAACACTGGTTTGGTTCATCAATTCTTCTTACTTAAATCTAATATTACTTGTATATTCACTAGTATTGGAATAAATCACATATCTTTAAAACCACAAATCATATTTAATTATTACTCACATCTTTCAAGGTAAACAGTAGCCATGTAGACTTGAAATATATGCGAATGAATGTGTTAGATTATAATATTTTATGTACTCGCGGTCATATATTTCATAGCCATATAGATTTGTAGGAGTGAGGGCGTAAATTTGCAATATTTTGTATGTTCGCATATATTTCAGGGTGCATTACTGTTAAGAAAAGAACTACTAATATATTCTTATGTAACATTATAAAATGAAAATATGTCACAATTTACAAATAATGTGCAAGATTCACATGTATATACTCGCAAGATGATGTTTGATTAACTAAACAACCTCTTAAGTGTTGGAAAAAAGTTAATAATTTTACGATTGTGAGAAAAACTGCAATAAATATTGATTATTTTCTTATTTTGCAAAAAGTACTATAAGTTACTACTTAACAATAGCTTAGTGATATAAAATTTTAAGAAACATCTTCCTAAGATACTACAGTATATTTTTTTCATTTATGTCATGCTTCCACGTATATGAGTAAATACACACAGTAATATTTATGTAATCAAAAGTGAAATTTAACTTTAACTTAATGAGTAAGTTGTGTGTAAGTTGCAAATAAGTCTATGCTTTTGTGTCGTGTTCAATAAAAAATTGTACAACTCATATAATGGGAAGTACTACAACCATTTTACAACATTTTAATTGGTTTATATTTAGAGTTATGTACCACACTTTAGAGCAAAAGAAACTTGACTCGCAAATGGTTGTCAAACGATACTAGTAGTAATTTGCAGTATTAGTATAATGACTACGTATCTTCACTCAACTCGTCAAAAAATTAAGTATAGTAATTCCATTATAGTCTTACTATATATGCTATTTCAAGTTGAGTTGTGCACCTAACTAACATTTATTGTATATCATTCTCAGTGGCGAAACCAGGAATTTACTCAAGGCTGTTCAAATTTGAAAGAAGTGAAAAAAATTCTCCGAAAAAGAGTGTACAATATATGTTATATACCTCTAAAGTCTAATATTTTACCTATATATGCAGTATAATTTTTCGACGAAGGGTGGTCAACATGTAGCTTCGCCCATGATCATTCCCCATAGAAGACCATTTAATGGCAGTTTTCCTAGTTCCAACTATCAACGACAACAATAGACTTTATATTCATGGGAAGGATATACTTCTTCAAGAAGTGAAATACTTTTTCAGAAAGGTATCAAATTGTTTTAAATTTCAATGTTTTCCAACATCAATAAAAGAGAAATTACCTTTTACAGATTCTTTGGATGGTCGTTGCGTATATCATAATGTATTATTTTTATACCTTTTACGTGGGGAGGTAGAGAGCGGTATAAGAAGTATTGGGGAAAGGTGATCAGGCAGGACATGACGAGGCTTCAGGTTTTCGTGGACATGGCCCTCGATAGGAAGCTGTGAAGGTCGAGTATTAGGGTTGTAGGTTAGGAGGCAGTTGAGTCTCTTTCTACTTCGTACCTATGTGAGGCTAGTCTGATAGGATTTTAGTCTTCGACTGTTAGTGGCTGATGTAATGCCTTACTATCCTTTCGTTTTTCATAGTCGTGTCTTTTTTACTGGCTATCGCTTTTGCATTTCATCTATTTTCTGATCTTTATGATGTTGTCATTATTCATATAGTCTCTATTGGTGGTACTGATGATATTGTCTCTTTTCGTCTTCTTGAGCCGAGGGTCTTCGGAAACAGTCTCTCTATTCCCTCTCGGGATAGGGGTAAGGTTTGCGTACATAGTACCCTCTCCAAACCCCATTTATGGGATTTTACTGGGTCGTTATTATTGTACTTTATAATTTGTGTCATAAAAAGTTGTCTCATATTCATGGTGCTTGCTTGAATATTCTCTTATTCTTTGAAGTTATTTTGGATTAATTTATACAATGATTCATTAATGTTGGGTACATTAGAAAAAAAATAAAAATATATATAGATTAAGATTGCTGTTTGATTTATGAGAATGAATAATTATTATATCTTACAATAAAAATTCTCACACATGTTTCAGTTGATATAAGATAAATCAATTTGTTTGATTCTTGCTGAACATATACCGACATATGACAAATGTATATTTACCTCTAACAGATTGAATGAATTGTAGTTGTATTTCATGTGAAAATTTCCCAAAATTGATAAACCCAAAACAAAAAGACCAACTCTATTTGGTTTGGTTCGATTTGTATATTTTATTAATTAACTGATATCTCTAGTAAGTTTGCTTTTTGAAAAATCAAATTAAACCATGGCTATCCCTACTCCAAAGTAGAAGACATTTCTAACAATTAACTCCTAATGTAAGTAAAATTAATTGTAATTACAACTTTGCCCGACATGAAATTCACTGACGAAGAGTAAAAAAAAAAAAAAAAAAAAAAAAAAAAAAAAAAAAAAAAAAAAAAAAAAAAAAAAGTCTACTAAAATTTCGTGTTAGAAATTTGTGTTCTTATTTTTTACCCTTGAAAAATCAAGTTAAACTATATTTCCATTGAATTTAATTGTAAATTTGTGTTTTTGCCACTCTTAAGTCTTAACCCTAGTTATGATAAAATAAAATAAATCCTTTACTATTAAAAACAAATCCTATTAGAATTCGTAATCAAAACACTCGTAAAAATAAAATCCTACTCCTACATATACATAGATTAGAAAAGCACACTGCACATCTATAAAAGCACTCAGTTTAACGACAAAAATTGTACTTTGCTGCAGTACAGTGGCAACTATTACTAATTTTTTCCTAGCATATATATATGTATTGGAAAAAAACTGAATCTAAATATTGAAGATGACGTGTCATGATACATGGACTGGTCAAAAGGTCAAAACGCAATAAATAGCCAAGAGGCACGGGAGACAACAGATATGAGGAGAAGAAAACAACATAGGTGTGGACCGTTACTCAAATAGTTACGAGTCTCGTACCTATTCGAGTCATTTAAAGACCGAAGATCGGAAGAAGTTGAAGATACGAATCTGATGACGTAAAAGAGTCTAAATACAGTATTAAATATCAGATACGTTAGAGAATTTGAATTAAATAGAAATGATTGTGTAACGTTTCTTTTAATGTCATTTATTGCTCATAATTGCCTCATTAAGACAAAGGCATTACATCTTCTCCTAGAATCAACTATAAAAGGAGAAGGACTCAACATCTGTAAGGACAAGAAATATTATTGAGATTACACTGAAATACAAAATTACTTATTACTTTGTTATTCTCAAAAGTCTTTTATTATTTTCATCTCCAGATTATCAGTAACCCGAATTTCTTTATATTTCTAAGCTTTGACCAAAGACTCAGATTTTTGGTTAAACAAATTGGTTCCGTTACCGGAAATCTAATAATCTTCTCTTTTAAGCTACATTCCAGCTGTTGTTATCATCATGTCAAACAAAAATAACAGTGAAAACACCTTGGGAAACCATGAAAATCAAATCCATCAAAATCAAGGAGATTTACAGAACATTGACGTGGTTCCCTCCCCTCAAAATTCACCACATCAATCTCGTGAAGGCACTCCTGCTCCTGAATCTCGTGCTGATCAACAAGAGCAATCTGAACATTTTGAAGGGG